TTTATCCACCTATCGAGTCCTTCCCAAGGACCTGGGATGGGCAGATGTTGTTTGATGGTGTCAAAGGTATCGTCATAGGATGGAAGCTGTTCCAAGTCAAGCTGCCTTTTGCAATGGACTGATGGTGATGGTCATTTTGTCAGTTGTTGTTGTTATTATTATTATTATTTTGTCCCTCTCCTCAAAAAAGAAAGCAAGAAAGAATCCCTGTGAGCCATGATTATTCGGTGTCTGGCTGACCTCCCTTTGGGCAGACGCCAGCAGCAGTTTCCTGTCTATACCTTTTTGATTCACTCTCCCACTTGAAATGTCAAAGGAGTCTCCAGGGACTTGGAGCCAACTGTGTAGGTTGCACATGGCTTGAAAGGAACTTTGCTCTTAACTACACCGAACGTCATCCCTGCACAGAAGGACAAAGAGCAAACCTGCCAAGCTCCTTATGGGAATTCAGTCAAGAATTCTTCCCTGGCACCACATGGTACCTTGAGTAGGGCAAGAGGCATTCTTGCTTCTAGGAAAATTCAAGTAGTAGGGAACTGTTCCAGTTTCAAATCCCCTTTGGTTACTTCTCTCCAAGGTACATCATGCTTTTAAAATTAAAACAAAATCTGGCCCCAGTCCTCTGTGTGCTGATAATCTGGATCGCTGTCCCATGATGCAGCTGGTTCAAGTTGATGCTTTTCTTCGATGAGTTGCTTTTGAACTTTGAAGAAGGGAAGGAGTGCTCATATTTGGGTTGATGAAGGAATGACTCTCTCTTCGTAGCCTGGCGATCTTATCAGCAAAGTGATATATGTTTGTAGCAGAGTTTACATCAAAAATTATTCCTGGGGCTTCCTTGAAATGAATTATGGCAAAAGGAGTGAGGCGGAGGGGAGATAAAGGTTTTTGAGTTCTGCAATATATTTTGTTTCCATGTTTTTATCTCTTGTAACACAACCATCCTCCATCTAGTCTTTCCAAGGCACACCAAACCGTGTCACAAACGGATGGCTGTGCTGTTCCGCCATGCAGAGACACCTTTGCTCTTTTGTTAAAAACAGACGCCTTCTCTGAAGGTATTAACTTGTGAGGCTGATAATAAACTTGTTTCCTTACCCTGCAAGGCGTGTGAACACACAAGAATAGCTTTTGCAAATTTTTTCCAAATAAGGGCATCAGTGAGCATAATAAATCAGCCATCTATCAAACCAGACTATTGGATTATTTCACCAACCTTTTCTGGAGCTCAGCACCATCTAGTGCAAGGGGAGAGGCACTACCATGACCACCACAAAATCTGCCCCAGATTTCTAGAGATCCCTCATCCTCAAAAGAATTTGGCCACCTCATTCCAAGATCTCACGCAGTCCTTTAGAAAAACGTTGACTTTTCAAGAGATCTCTCTGTTCTTCTTCAGGAGGGTTGGGCTTGCATGATGTTTCGTTCGCTCCCAAGATTTTAGTCACAGTTGTTTAGATTGTTTAATTTAAAATTAGTTTTGAGGGATCTGGGTGTCATACATGGCCATCCTTATCCGGGGTCTCAAGTGAGAAAGTATTTCTCAGGCTTGCCACTGAACATTTTTTATTTTATTGTTTTATTCATTTATATTTCAAATCTGTCACTGCCCACCTCACTGCATTCTCCTTCAATATCAACATCTCTTGATGCCTCTCTTTATTCAAAGCATATGTTGTACCATTGAGCTAAGTTTCTCCTTCTCTAGGGGAGGCCCCCAGTATTTGCCAAAGAACCCAGAAATGAAAACATTGAGACTTTTAAGATTATGACTTAGATTGGAAAGAATTGGTCAATAGGACTTCCTTAGTTTCTCTTTTCTTATTTATTGGCTCTTGCTTGATCGAGGAAAACACAGGACATAAACAAAAGATGTTGGAATTACATGGGCTCTAGTGCTAGCATACATCATAACATGGGGAAAAATAAGCATGGATGGCTGGATCTTCTTCTGAAATTTATCATTTCAAAAGTGAGTTCACCTTCTGTCTTTTAACGCTCGACTTCATGGCCACTCAAGGAAAATGGCTGGCAACAGTTTCAGAATTCATGTTTCTTTTTTCTTAATATACAGAATGAATTCCCGTGAGAGGGTTAGATCTCACAGGACCATCAAGAGCTGTTTTCTCTTAAGTCAGACCATTTTCACCCATCCCAGTACGTCCTTCCCTGCTACTGCTGTCTGAACAGGCTAAAGATCAAACCCAGAACTTCTCCATACAAAGAAGCTATATCATTGAGTTTTCGTTTATTTATTTTATTTATTATTTATTATTAAATTTGTATGCCGCCCATCTCCCCCAGTGGGTGACTCTGGGCGGCTCACCATTAAAAATCCAAAGCCTATAAACAATTAAAATATCCCATAAATAAATACTCAATCCATTAAAATCCACTATAAAACAAACCCTATACATAAATACTAAAGACATTCAAGATGATGGGGGGGAGTAAAATCAATTACCCCACAAGCCACCCCACTGATGCAAGTTTTGGCCCTACTCCTGTCCGTTTTCCCTGAGTTTCTGCCCCCTACAGGACTTTTCCCTGGTTTCTCAGCTCAACCTTCCCACCCATCTCTGCTATAGTCTACTTCTGAATTTTTGATTATTTTTTTCAGTGGCCAATAATTCTTAAATCAGCATTTAGTTAGAAACTTTAGCTGAACCTTTCAGGCTGGGCCCAGAAATCTGTCAAGTGGGGAGAAATGCTGAGTATAAAGAGAAGGGTCTTACATTGCCCTGAGCCCAGCTTTTTATGCTTATGGCCTATCTGAAATATTCATTAAGACTTAATACAAGAGTGGGTCTCACTGATGTTAGAAGTTCAGCAGATGTCCAAGAAGTTTCAAATGTTAAAATGGTCCTGACCTTCTCATCTGCCAATCCTGTCTCAGTGGTCTTTGTTGATCTGGAAGGACACATGTTCACTTCTTGGATTAGACTGAATCTGCCTGTTTGAACTCTGATGCAAGGAGCGATATTAATGGCCTCCCTTGTAAAATCTTCAGCATCCCTATTAGAATCTTTGCAAACATCTCCTCTACAAAGGGTTTATTTTAAATCAGCCTCTCCTTTGATTATCACCAAAGATTTTGCTGATTTTGAACCTTGAGGAGGAAGCATCCTGTCGTTAAGAAGGAAGATTTAAGCCTTAATAAAAGAGGCTGCCATTTTTATAGCCCCCAGAAAGAAGCCCTATGTCTCAATTAAGCACACATAATATAAAGTCTTAAGGAAGCCACATAATAAGCTTAATGTGATTATATCCTCTGGCAAAGCATAATTTAAAGGAAATCTGATTCTCTTAATATCTTGTTACATTGTTGGAAAAAACAGGTTGGGAACCAGTTCTGAACACCACTGTCCACTGTAGAACAACTCCGTGGATAGAACAGGACCAGTGGCAGCCCAAGGAAGGTTGGGTCAACCACATTAGTACCATATCTTCTTGGCTAAACATTCAAATGAACAATTTACTGTAGCCTCAACACTCATTTTGTTTGCTGAATGTGCGACCTTCTGATCTGGAGCGGTCTGTTTTTGATCAAAGCCAGAGTGTCATAAGAACATGACATAAATCAAAACATAAAGAGAGTTATGTTATGGCATCATATCAGACTTCCCCCTAGGTCAGCCCTTTCCAATCTGGTGTGCCTGCCAGATGTGTTGAGGTTGCAGCATCTGGAATGCTCAGAGAGTACAACCAAGGAAGTCCTGGCCCTCATACATCTGGAAGGTGCCCTC